CTTAATGATTTATAGTTTTATATATTTATAACATAAGATTTGATCAAGGCAATCTCCTTTTAGTTAAATTCAGCCTCAATTATTTAGTTGTTAATATGAAAACCAAAGAAGATTTGTTTAAAATAAAAAAATTCTAAAATTGCCTGCTATTTACATTAAATAGACAGGAGATGGCGCTCTCTCACTATATGACCTTAGATGTTCTAGTCTCGGATCAATAATATCGATTTACCTTATGTTCAAGGTTCAGCCTAAAGTCAACCTTTGGCTTCCTCAAATATTTGTTGTAGAACAAGCCATTCTAACCTTCTTTATTGATTTATACCATGTGCTGATTTTCTCCCTTACTCTGTAAAATCGTCGGAGCCAAGGTAAGACTTTCTGTTCATTTTAAATTATGAATATTATTATTTATTTTTTTCTTCTCCTAACGGCTGCCACAGTTAAGTCTTCACACTTGTTATTACAACAATATTTGTTGAACATATCCATTAAATACCACAAGTTACAACACATTTAAGTACTTACAAAGTTATACACTTGAGAATTTGTTCTCGTCAGGAGATACAGATATTTGGCTCAGTGGTATCTACATCAAACTAACGAAATGTGGCTGTGAGAGTTTGAAAATTACTATGTTAAAAATGATTATTTTGTAGAAATATTAAATATTAAAGTATTTTACACATTAAGAAATTAGTAAAGTCTTAACACTTGTTATTACAACAAGTGTTGATTTATACATTAATTTCAGTCCACCAGAAGAAGGCCTGAAGTAGGCCGAAACCGGTCGTGGACGGCTGATCTATGAGCTACTCATAAGAAGATACGACTGTACTAAAATTTTGTCGAAGGCTTTCATGGCCGGAATCACTGAGTTGTTGTAGGTTTTTCCGGGCTGTATGGCCATGTTCTGGAGGCATTTTCTCCTGACGTTTCGCCTGCATCTATGGCAAGCATCCTCAGATGCTTGCCATACCTACCTCTGAGGATGCTTGCCATAGATGCAGGCGAAACATCAGGAGAAATTGCTACAACCCAGACTGTACAAAAGCCTGTAAAATTTGCACAATATTGTTTTGTTATCACTGTGAAGTTGAGGGCAGGGCCCAGCCTGGCCCCCTCCTCACTGGCCGTGGTGTCCCCTCCATTCCAGGCTTCTCCCTGGGGTCCACGGTGCAGGCCAACACCAAGGGCATCTGGATGTGGTGCCGTCCCCATCCCCAACGGAGCGACCGCACCCTGGTTCTGCTGGACACGGAGGGCCTGGGGGACGTGGGGAAGGTGAGTCCATGGGGGGGGGTCTGTCTCGTGGGTCTGCGTCATGATGAGACCTGAGCCCACTCTGTGCGTTGCACAGAATGGCAGCAGAAGGCTCTTGTCAAACCAAACCTTCCAAAGGCAGGCCATGATGTGCATCCACCCCACTTCTCTCCATTGCATTGAATGGGGCTGAGGGAGGGGCCCCTATAGTGTGAGCAGGGCAGGAGTGGGGCTCAGAGAGACCTGCTTCTTCTCTTCCAGGGCAACACGCAGAACGACGCTTGGATCTTTGCGCTGGCCATCCTGCTGAGCAGCACCTTGGTCTACAACAGCATGGGCACCATTGACCAGAACGCCCTGGATCAGCTCCAGTATCCTTCCCTGGGGGGCAAATGAGTGTGTGTGTGTGTGGGGGGGTGGGGTGAAAATGTATGGAGGGACAACCAGGTTCCCTTTGGGATCCCGGCTGGGAGGGGTGCCTACTGGACATCGGTCAGGAGTAAGCGGGCGCAGGAGGAATGACCTCGGGGGAGGATCGGGGGCGCTGGGGCCTCTTCCACAGGCAAGGAGTGAATAATAAGTATACTTACTTACTTACTTTACTTACTTAGGCGATCCCTCGTTTTCCGAGGATGATTGTCTTCCAGTGTTCTGGTGGGTCCGCATGTGGCTGTGGAGCCCTATTCTTGCTCTGCATCTTCTTCCGCAGTGAGGGCATTGGTTTCCAGGTGGAAGGCGGTCCCGGTCGGGGTTGGCTTGACGCGCCTTCCTCTTGGCACGTTTCTCTCTTTCGCCCTCCATTTGTGCCTCTTCAAATTCTGCAGCACTGCTGGTCACAGCTGACCTCCAGCTGGACGCCCAAGGGCCAGGGCTTCCCAGTTCTCAGTGTCTTTGCCAGAGTTTTTAAGGTTGGCTTTGAGCCCATCTTTAAATCTCTTTTCCTGTCCTCCAACATTCCGTTTTCATTCTTGAGTTCGGAGTAGAGCAACTGCTTTGGGAGACGGTGGTCGGGCATCCGGACAACGTGGCCGGTCCAGCGGAGTTTATGGCGGAGGAGCATCGCTTCAATGCTGGTGGTCTTTGCTTCTTCCAGCACGCTGACATTTGTCCGCTTGTCTTCCCAAGAGATTTGCAGGATTTTCCGGAGGCAGCGCTGATGGAAAAAAAAAAAAGACATCAGCGAGGGTTAAGGCTACCTGGGCAAGACAGCCCCTTCCCACACAACCAGGCCCGTGGCTGAGGTGCGGCCAGGAAATGCAAGCTACTGTGTTTCAACACATAATAGTCACATTCTCTCTCCCCCCACCACCCTTTTCATCAAACAAAGGGTACAATTATTACATCATGGGGGTCCCCAATGACCTTCTGGCAAACAAACTAGTCCAATGTGGGCTAGGCAAAACTACGGTGAGGTGGATCAGTAATTGGTTGAATGGACGAACCCAGAGGGTGCTCACCAATGCTTCCTCTTCATCCTGGAAAGAAGTGACGAGCGGAGTGCCGCAGGGTTCCGTCCTGGGCCCGGTCCTGTTCAACATCTTTATTAATGACTTAGATGAAGGGCTAGAAGGCAGGATCATCAAGTTTGCAGACGACACCAAATTGGGAGGGAGAGCCAAGACTCCAGAGGACAGGAGCAGGATTCAAAACTATCTTGACAGATTAGAGAGATGATGGCCAAAACTAACAAAATGAAGTTCAACAGGGACAAAGGCAAGATACTCCACTTTGGCAGAAAAAATGAAATGCAAAGATACAGAATGGGGGACAATGCCTGGCTCGAGAGCAGTACGTGTGAAAAAGATCTTGGAGTCCTCGTGGACAACAAGTTAAACATGAGCCAGGAATGTGATGTGGCAGCAAAAAAAAAGCCAATGGGATTTTGGCCTGCATCAAGAGGAGCCTAGTGTCTAGATCTAGGGAAGTCATGCTCCCCATGCTCTATTCTGCTTTGGTTAGACCACACCTGGAATATTGTGTCCAATTCTGGGCACCACAATTCAAGAGAGATGTTGACTCTAAGCTGGAATGTGTCCAGAGGAGGGCGATTAAAATGATCAAGGGTCTGGAGAACAAGCCCTATGAGGAGCGGCTTAAGGAGCTGGGCATGTTTAGCCTGAAGAAGAGAAGGCTGAGAGGAGACATGATAGCCATATATAAATATGTGAGAGGAAGCCACAGGGAGGAGGGAGCAAGCTTGTTTTCTGCTCCCCTGGAGACTAGGATGTGGAACAATGGCTTCAAACTACAAGAGAGGAGATTCCATCTGAACATTAGGAAGACTACTGTGAGAGCCGTTCAGCAGTGGAACTCTCTGCCCCAAAGTGTGATGGAGGCTCCTTCTTTGGAAGCTTTTAAACAGAGGCTGGATGGCCATCTGTCAGGGGTGCTTTGAATGCAGTTTTCCTGCTTTTTGGCAGGGGGTTGGACTGGATGGCCCACAAGGTGTCTGTGGTTCTAGGATTCTATATTCTACCGATCTATCTACTTACCTACCTATCCATACGTCTTACTTCCCAAAGGGGCGAAGGGAAAATCCAGCCTCAATCAACCAGTTTAAAAACTACAAAAGGCAGTTCTCGAGCTCCACTCTTCTCACCTCCCTCCTTCCTCCTCCTCCTCCTGAGGTCTTTGGGGCAGTGGAATGGATGTCTTTGGAGGAAAGAAGGAAGATTCGAGTTCCAGATACCTCCATTTATATTTATTTATTTATTATTTTGGCCATTTTTATCCCAGCTCTCCCCACTCAAGGGCGCAAGGTGGCTAACAGCATTTCTAAAATGCAAGCAATACAAACTTTAAAAGCAATACATAAAAACCAGATACTCAACAGTGCTGAAGACATTAAAGCCTATATATTAGCATAAAAATATAAAATCCTAAAACTGAAGGTTCCTAAAAGCCGTCCAAGTGAAAATCATATATATCAATTAATAATTTCAAATTTTGTAAACTGACTTAAGGTCTTGGAGGAAGGAGAAAGGAGAGAAGAGTGGAGCTTGAGACCTGTTCGGAAAAAGGAAGGAAGGAAGGGAGAATGTGATTATTATGTAATGAAATATGGCTGTTTGTTTGTTTGTTTATTTACGACATTTATATACCGCCCTTTGGACCCCGAAGGGGACTCAGAGCAGCTACTAATATTTTTTATTTGTTTATTTGTCATGTCAGGGCAGCCAGTCAATTATATTACATTTCTAACAGAACAAAGCAAACAAACAGACAAAATACAAAATGTGTGAGTTTTGTAGTTAATTAAATGTCCTTTGACCAGTATCTGGCCCTTTGGAGTGCCTCTGCTGTTGCCGCAAGAAGGTCCTCCATGGTGCATGTGGCAGGGCTCAGGTTGCATTGCAGCAGGTTTTAGGTTGGCTCTGCATCTCGTGGTGCCAGAGCGCAGTCTGTTCAGCGCCTTCCAAGTCGCCCAGTCTTCTGTGTGCCCAGAGGTGAGTCTCTCATTTGGTATCAGCCATTGGTTGAGGTTCTGAGTTTGAGCCTGCCACTTTTGGACTCTCGCTTGCTGAGGTGTTCCAGCGAGTGTCTCTGTAGATCTTAGAAAACTATTTCTAGATTTAAGTCGTTGACGTGCTGGCTGATACCCAAACAGGGGATGAGCTGGAGATGTCTCTGCCTTGGTCCTTTCACTATTGGCTGCTCCTTCCCGGCAGATGTCAGGTGGTGCAATACCGGCTAAGCAGTGTAATTTCTCCAGTGGTGTAGGGCGCAGACACCCTGTGATAATGCGGCATGTCTCATTAAGAGCCACATCCACTGTTTTAGTGTGGTGAGATGTGTTCCACACTGGGCATGCATACTCAGCAGCAGAGTAGCATAGCGCAAGGGCAGATGTCTTCACTGTGTCTGGTTGTGATCCCCAGGTTGTGCCAGTCAGCTTTCATATGATATTGTTTCTAGCACCCACTTTTTGCTTGATGTTCAGGCAGTGCTTCTTGTAGGTCAGAGCACAGTCCAGAGTGACTCCCAGGTATTTGGGTGCGCTGCAGTGCTCCAGTGGGATTCCTTCCCAGGTAATAATCCTCAGAGCTCGGGATGCTTGTCTGTTCTTAAGGTGAAAGGCACATGTCTGTGTTTTAGATGGATTAGGGATCAGCTGGTTTTCCCTGTAATAGGCAGTAAGAGCACCTAGAGCTTCGGAGAGCTTCTGTTCAACCATCTCAAAGCTCCCTGCTTGAGCAGTAATGGCACAATCATCAGCATAGATGAAACTCTCTGTCCCTTCTGGCAGTGGCTGGTCATTTGTGTAGATGTTGAACATGGATGGAGTAAGTACACTCCCCTGAGATATTATTATTATCATAGCGCAATATTAATATTATATATTACATTGTACTATAACATTATACTGTAATATTATTAGTAATATTACATTTAATATAAATATATATAATTATAATATGTTATTATTAGTAGTGTCATATTGTATTACATTACAATAATATAATATAATATATATTATATATTATATTATATTATATTATATTATATTATATTATATTATATTATATTATATTATATTAAGCACAGTGCAGGAGACAAGAAGGAACTGCCTTCCTGGCCCCTCTCTTCACTCTGATCTCAGAGCAACAGTTGGTGCTGGTGGGGGCAGAGGCAGCCCTAGGTAATTTTCAATGGTAAGCAAACAGTATTTTGCCCCCCCCCCCAAACCAATCACTATATATATATACTGTTGCAACCCAGATCAAGAAACGAGACCATAAGATTAAATCCACCACACTTGACTGTGGGAAAAACAATCCTTTTTTATTGATGAAAAATGGTTACAAAATAGAGGAAAATGCAAAGTCAAAATGCCACAGTAAAACTCAGCAGTCAGGAATATCTCTGAACTAGATCAAAATTCCAAAAGCCACAATACAAGAACCAGGAACCTGTTAGCCTCTCGCTAACCATGAACTTGAAAACTAGAAGCCTCTGGGATTACCGGCCATGGAACACAGGAATTCTGCCAAGGCACAGCCACAGTCCCAAACGTTGCTTGATCTAAAGAGACACCCGGCAGGAGGCCCCTTAAACCAAAGAAGATATTCTTTGAAACGCCCCTTGACTTTGAAGCCTGGGCCTGTCTCTCCTGTAAACGATTTGACCTTCGTAGAAACTGGGAAACATTTCTGTCTCTAACTATCTGTTCTCTTCGGTCCTCATTAAAAAACCCAGGTGGAGAGATATCACGGCTAGCTTCCAAAACATTTTCCTCCAGCTGTTGAGTTTCATTTTCATCCCTGCTGACCTCTGCATCAACAACAGATTCCACACTGTCAGAGTCAGGGAGAGCTTGCTCAGTTGGAAAAACTATCAGAGAATCCTGTTCACACAGATCAGGATCAGGCTGAACCCCAACACACACACACACACACACACACACACATATATATACCGTAAAAACCGGGGTACTAGACGACTTTTTAGGCATGTAAACCTTAGAAGATTTTGGGGGTCATCTAGTACCCCGGGTATAAAATAATATAACAATAAAATTATCGGACTTGCACATGGAGGTCTCCCGGGCAGGCTCCCCATCCTTCCTGCCTTTGTTGCACAGGCCCAGGCCTCTCCTTTGTTGGCAGCAGGGCCCCTGGGCTGCTTGCCGCGCTGCTCAGGCTGAGAATCGCGAAGCCTGGCTAGGAAGGAGCGCTGCTTAGGCCAGCGCTCCTTCCTAGCCAGGCCTCTCGAAAATCGCGAAGCCATGCGTGGGAGCTCCTCAAGAGCGCCCCCCCCCAGACGCGCGCTCTACGCAAAAGCGTAATTTGCGTACCGCCTTGGGCTGCCTCTGCGGGGGGGGCTCCCAACTGATGATACTGGAGGCAAGATGGAACTGCCTTCCTGGCCTCTCTCTTCACTCTGATCTCAGAGCAGCGGTGCCTGAGATGAGTGGGCAGGCTGTCTTCTTCTGACAGGAAATGGCTCTCAGCCTAAACTTGGGAGCCATTCCGTTGCCGCCAACCAGCCACAAATAAGCACACCAGACTGCCTTGGCCCTGGGAGCCCTTTTCCTTAGCTGTGCCCAGCTACGTTTCTGAGCTGACCCAAAAGATCAGAATAACCTCTTCCAGGGACCAAAGCCAAGAGGACGAGGATTCCTCAGAGTTCGTCCGCTACTTCCCGGCCTTCATTTGGGCCGTGAGGGACTTCACGCTTGACCTGGAGATCAACGGGCGCCCGGTCAGCGAGGACGGCTACCTGGAGAACGCCCTGAAGCTGCAGAAAGGTGACTTCTGGGCGAAAGTGAGGCAGTGTCTGATGGGGCCTTGGAATGGGGGAGGGGGAAGGGTGTCTCTGGATGTAGAGGTGAAAAGGTCACGTGAGGGAACACACTCTCAAGGGAGCAGGATGCTCTGTGCATGCTCAGAAACATTCTTGTTGCGTCACATTCAAAGGGAATTCAGAATGGAGACCTGACTAGTCTTGCAGGCAAAAGGTATCTAGAAGGTTGGAATTTATCAATAAGGGGAAACCACCAAAATACCTGTGCTTCCTCCGCAGGTGACACAGAGCTGATCAGGAGGTGCAACCTGCCCCGGTTGTGCATCCGCAAGTTCTTTCCTTCCCGGAAGTGCTTCACGTTTGACCGCCCAACAGGCAGGAAGAACTTGCGGCGGCTGGAGGAGCTGGAGGAGGAAGATCTGGAAGAGGAGTTCCTGAAACCCGTGGCCTGTTTCTGCGACCACGTCTGGGAGACCTCCACGTGCAAGACAGTCCCCGGGGGCCAAGCTGTGACAGGAGCCAGTAAGCCAGGCTCTGTTTGCATTGGGTCAGGAAGAAGCCTTTCTGGCTGCAGCAAATAGGTCTGCCCTGCTGACCGCTCTAAAGGGGTGGCTGGGGGTGGGAGGGTGGGATTGGGACTCATCCTGATACCTTTCAAGCCACCCCAGTGCTGACCAGTTGCCTCTGTTGCCGTTGGAAGAGGCCGCCTCCATGCTGCGCTGTGCCTGGGAGAGGAAAACCGAGTTCCAGTACTTAAAATGAACCTTTAGAGCAGTGTTTCTCAACCTGGGGGTCGGGACCCCTGGAGGGGTCGTGAGGGGGTGTCAGAGGGATCGCCAAAGACCATCAGAAAACAGTATTTTCTGTTGGTCATGAGGGTTCTGTGTGTGAAGTTTGACCCAATTCTAACCTTGGTGGGGTTCAGAATGTTCTTTGATTGTAGGTGAACGATAAATCCCAAAGGTCTATTTTCAAAAGCCCCCACCAGTGTTCACATTTGGGCATATTGAGTATCCATGCCAAGTTTGGTCCAGATCCATCATTGTTTGAGTCCACAGTGCTCTCTGGATGTAGGTGAACTACAGCTCCCAAACTCAAGGTCAATGCCCACCAAATCCTTCCAGTATTTTCTGTTAGTCATGGGAGTTCTGTGTGCCAAGTTTGGTTCAATTCCATCATTGGTGGAGTTCAGAATGCTGTATGATTGTAGGTGATCTATAAATCCCAGCAACTACAACTCCCAAATGTCAAGGTTTATTTTCCCCAAACTCCACCAGTATTCAGATTTGGGCGTTTTGGGTATTTGTGCCAAATTTGGTCCTGCAAATGAGATTTATAATACTAGCAAAATTACAGTTATGAAGTAGCAACGAAAATAATGTTATGGTTGGGGGTCACCAGAACATGAGGAACTAGATTAAGGGGTCGCGGCATTAGGAAGGTTGAGAACCACTGTGTTTAGAGCCACACAGCGCTCAGCCTGGGCTGCCTTCGTGAAGATGCTGATGATGTTTATGTTTATTTATTCCACAAGGAGATTGGAAGAGGCTAGTGATGTGAATAGTCATTGGGTAGAATTTAGAGACAGAGGGTGTGTTGGTCTGGAGTATCAATAAGCAAAGGGACCTGGTGGCACCTTTCATATTAGATCCCTTTGCGCACAGATCCACGTTGTGTTTGGAGGAAAGCGCGCTCCTTTGCATCACAGGTGTCTCTGCCAAAGCCCTTCCCACCCCACCCTCCATCGATGCCTCACCAGACCTTTCCTTCCTCCTCCTCCTCTTCCCCCTTTCAGTGCTGGCAAACCTGGCAAAGGCCTACGTGGGCGCCATCAACAGCGGGGAGGTGCCCTGCCTGGAGAACGCGTTCCTGGCGCTGGCTGAGATCGAGAACGCAGCCGCCGTGCGCGAAGCCCTCTCTCGTTACGAGGAGGAGATGCAGAGGAGGGTGGCACTGCCCACAGGATCCGTGGAGGAGCTGCTGCGGACGCACGCCGAGTGCGAGAGAGAGGCTGCCGGGGCGTTCATGGCACGCGCCTTTGGGGCCAACATTAAGAAGTTCCAGGATGAACTCACGGTACGTGCTCTCCCTCGTGGTCTATCAGGCGCATAGGATACTGTGCATGGCCACAGGGCCTTTGCTGAAGTATGCTTTCTTGATCTATAAATTGCTGTGTATATTGGGGGGGGGGGAGGTTGCCGTCTGCTGTGTGGTGTTTCCATAGCCATGAGCCCTTTGTGTTGTTTGGGCAGCATGAGCTGAACCGGAAGAAGGAGGAATTCCGCCAGAGGAACGAGGCCGTGTCCTTTGACCGCTGCATGGCTGCCCTGGAGAACCTCTCGCAGGACCTGGAGAGCGGGGTCCGCGCGGGACGCTTCTCGGTCCCCGGAGGCTACAAGCAGTTCCTGGAGGAGCAGCGCCAAATGGTGGAGAAATACCGCTTGCTGCCTGACAAAGGGGTCCAGGTAGGAAGCGCCCTCGGATCCTTTGGAGACTCACAAGGGAGTGGGATCCTGGTTATTTATTTATCATGTCAGGCAACCGAACAGTTGTATTACATTTTTGACAGAACAAACAAACAAATATACAAAAGACACAAAGTTTGCAAGCTTGGTAGTAGATTAAATGTCCTTTGACCAGTATCTGGCCACTTGGAGTGCCTCTGGTGTTGCCGCAAGAAGGTCCTCCCTTGTGCATGTAGCAGGGCTCAGGGTGCATTGCAGCAGGTGGTCAGTGGTTGGCTCTTCTCCACACTCTCATGTCGTTGGATTCTCATTCGGTATCAGCCATGGATTGAGGCTCTGGGTTTGAGCCTGCCACTTTTGGACTCTCGCTTGCTGAGTTGTTCCAGCGAGTGTCTCTGTAGATCTTAGAATTTCTTGATTTAAGTCGTTGACGTGCTGGCTGATACCCAAACAGGGGATGAGCTGGAGATGTCTCTGCCTTGGTCCTTTCACTATTGGCTGCTACTTCCCGGCGGATGTCAGGTGGTGCAATACCGGCTAAGCAGTGTAATTTCTCCAGTGGTGTAGGGCACAAACACCCCGTGATAATGCGGCATGTCTCATTAAGAGCCACATCCACTGTTTTAGCGTGGTGAGATGTGTTCCACACTGGGCATGCATACTCAGCAGCAGAGTAGCATAGCGCAAGAGCAGATGTCGTCACTGTGTCTGGTTGTGATCCCCAGGTTGTGCCAGTCAGCTTTCATATGATATTGTTTCTAGCACCCACTTTTTGCTTGATGTTCAGGCAGTGCTTCTTGTAGGTCAGAGCACGGTCCAGAGTGACTCCCAGGGATTTGGGTGCGCTGCAATGCTCCAGTGGGATTCCTTCCTTCCCAGGTAATAATCCTCAGAGCTTGGGATGCTTCTCTGTTCTTGAGATGAAAGGCACATGTCTGTGTTTTAGATGGGTTGGGGATCAGCTGGTTTTCCCTGTAATAGGCAGTAAGGGCACCTAGAGCTTTGGAGAGCTTCTGTTCAACCATCTCAAAGCTCCCTGCTTGAGCGGTAATGGCACGATCATCAGCATAGATGAAACTCTGTCCCTTCTGGCAGTGGCTGGTCATTTGTGTAGATGTTGAACATGGATGGAGCAAGCACGCTCCCCTGAGGCAGGCCATTCTTCTGTTTCCACCATCTGCTTCTCTGGCCCTGGAACTCAACAAAGAAGCTCCTGTTTTGTAGCAGGTTTCCTATGAGGCGGGTGAGGTGGTCGTCCTTTGTGATATTATACATTTTTCTCAGGAGGAGGCGGTGGTTCACAGTATCATAGCTGCTGACAGGTCTATGAAGACAGCTCCTGTGATCTGCTGCCTTTCAAAGCCATCTTCTATGTGCTGAGTCAGGTTCATCACTTGCGATGTGCAGCTTTTGCCTTTCCTGAAGCCAGCTTGCTGTGGGATCAGACATGGGTCTATTTTTTCCATAATTCTATGCAAAATAAGTCTCTCCAGAACTTTGTAGAGGTGGCACAACAGGGAGATTGGTCTGTAGCTTTTTGGGTCATTGCGGTCTTTGCCTGGCTTCAGGATGGCGATGACTCTTGCTTTCCTCCAGATTTTGGGGATCTGACAGGATGCAGTGCAGTTGTTCATCAGCTCCAGCAGCCAGCACCTTGCTTTTGGGCCAAAGTTCTTGATTTGTTCCATCCGTAGATCATCCAGGCCAGCTGCTTTGCCATTTTTACATTTATTGAGGGCCATGTCCAATTCAGTAGATGTAAAGGGTTCATGAAGGTTGTTGTTCTCAATCTCTGGTTGTCTGGCTATTGGTTTCTTCCTAGTTTGGTGGCAAGGTTGAGTTTCCTATTCTTCAGTTGATGCGTTATCTGATCTGCCTTTATGTTGGCATGGGTATTAGTTTGTGAGGGGTCGTTGCTCAACCGTCTTAGCAGCCTCCACGCCTTCTGGCTGCTCCTGCCCATGTCGACCTCTGTGATCAGCTTGATCCTGGTGATCTCTCAGGAGCAAATCCCACTTGCTTTGAGCACCAGAGCAGGACTGTTGCCCACGTGGTTTTCCCTGCCTTTGGCTTAAACTGGCCTCGGTTGTTCCCTTCCCAGGCAGACAAGGCGCTTGAGGAGTTCCTGAAGTCCAAGGAGACAGAGGCCAATTCTATCTTGCTGGCGGACATGGCCCTGAGCGAGAAGGAGAAGGAGGTGGAAGGTGCGGAGGTGTCCAAGCAGGCCATAGGCTTTGCCAAGGCTGCATGCCACATGTCAAATGCTCCCCAAAAATGTGCACGAGCTAAAAGAGTGGCTTGACACGTGCCTAAATGGGATCAGTTCAGCCAACCTAAGGAGTATGTCCAGGGGGTACTTAGGGCTGAGGAGCCCCTCCCTCCAGGCCACCCCCTGCCTATCCTTGCCTTGCTTCTCTGGGGTCTAAGGCTCTTTCTCTCCCTGACGGCAGCCCAACGAGTGCAGGCCGAAGCCGCGCAATGGCAGCAGGAGCTTCTGGAGCAGGAGCTGGCCCGGAAGAAGCAGCTGGCGGAGGATCAGGAGCGCAGTTATGAGGAGCAGATCCGGCTGCTGAGGGAGAAGGTGGAGGAAGACAAGGAGCGGATGAAGGAGGAGACCGAACGCATCATGCAGATTAAGCTCCAGGTAAGGACAAACTCTGGTTGGCTTGTTCCACAGAACCGTGGTTATGATGAATTCTAGTTGGCTTCAGTAAGGCCTAGAAGGGCGCTTGTTTTCAAGGGCAGTTCAGCTACTGGCTGTCTCGGTATTTCTGGCATGGTTTGTGTACAAACTATTGAGGGTTTACAAGTGGGAGGTCTGCCTCCGCTTGAGGACCATCGTTGCCCTCCTGGTCCGCTCCCACCCTGGGGTGTTTTGCTGTCCTTCCTCCTGACCTGCCTTGTGGGTTCCTTACCTTTTCCAGGAACAAAAGAAACTTCTGGA